GGATAGTGGAAAGGGAAAAGGGGTCCGCGAAAAAATCGGCGGGAAAAGGAAAGTGGGGAATGGCTAGTTTTTGGCTTGTCCAAAGTGCAAAACCGAAAAAGAAAAACAAACGTAAACAAAAACAAAACGCGGGAGTGCAAACATTTGCACGCACGCACAAATCAAAACATCAACAAAACAAAAATCGCTGGCGAAAACCCGCGGCACGTATACCCCGCAGGACTTTTCCCCGCCCCGCCAGCCTTCCGGGTTTTCCGTGAAAAGTCTCGGCGCAACTGTATACGTATTTGACATTTTAAACGGGCCAGTCGCCACTTGTCAATCTTTGTAAAAGTTCGCATTTCACATATTTTCTCGGCCCCCCCTTTGCCTTTCCCTGTGTTTGTGTGTCGTTTTTGCAATTTCTGGCGATTTTTTAGCCAGCTTTTCTCCTCTTTTTTTCGCGCTGTTTTCCCTTACATTTGTTTTTTTGTCAACGAACTCGCATTTTTGCTGGCAAATGGCTTTCCAAACGCCAGTGCCGCAACGAGCTCGCAAAGTCAGCCTAAAAGTATGCAAATAAAATACGCGCTCTTATCTGTTTGGCATTGGCTTTTGTGTGTTGGCCAGGCCAACATGGTCGCCAGCTGATGCCGCTGTGGCAAAAAGCGTAGCCAAAACAATGTTTTAAAATGCATTTGGGCATACTTTGCACGCCGGCACATTGGCAATTGCATTCACATACCATAAGCCGGTTGGCCCCCGCCGAAAAAAGGACCCCCATTCTCGGCCAATTCTGTCGGCCATTCAGCCTTTTTGGCCCACCATTTTGGGGGTATAGAGTAGAACACATAGTATACGGGGCCCACACAACCCCGTGCGACTCCAATCAACAAAATTGAAGCCATTGGTTATTGTTGTTGCTGGCGGGGCAGTGACATGCTGCCAGTTGCGGCTCATATGTCGCATGTAACGCCCCAAAAACAAAGAAGTAAAAAAGCCAAAAGTGAAGTAGTCACTTTTGTTTGGCGCTAGCGATAAAGTTAAGCAAAAAATCACTATTGCCGGGCTTGCACTTGGGCGGGCAGTCAGCGGCCTTAAGTTGAAGGGTATGCCAAATCGAAGAAAAACTTTAAACGGAAAGGTAAATTATTAAGGTTCCTGGAGATTGCTATCTGACAGGTAAAAGTTTGAAGGCGATAAAGAAAGAATAAAGTGACTTATACATTAATAAAATGTACAAATATTCGTTCAGGTTATTTTGACTAGATCAACTTATTTATCATTAAATGAACTTTAGTCTTAGCCTTCACCACTAAAATCTTTATCATAATGAATGAAGACTAAGCTCATTTTAGTCAAAACATAAAACAATTAGCCTAAGCAAGAACTTTCTGTTCTTTTAATAAATTTATCTCCCAGTAGAGAACTTTTTGAGTTTCGCTCAAAACTGTCTCGCATGTGACAATTTCCCCCGAAGTCTCCAATTAAGCAGAGATTATCTTTAAATTAACACAATTCCCGGTGGGGGCCAAAAGTTTAGCCCGAGATCTTTTCAAGGCACGGTATAATCCGCGTCGAGAATGCAGCATTATATGAACTTGCAAGTTCTTCGGCTTTCGGCTTTCAGCTTTTGTCTTCTACTTCTAACGCTGTCAGTGGCATATATGTCTAAATAATAGAAAAGTTAGTGGCGAAGAAAGGAGAAAGCTGCACGATGCACTCAGCTCATCTCCAAAATTTATATGGAGGAGCTGCTGCAAAAATCAAGTATTCGCTCATATGTTAGCTTTATGGCGCCATTTTGTTAATTTATTTCACTTGCTTGACAGTTTGTTTTCAATTTTTTATGTTCGTTTTCTGTTTTTTTTTTTCTGTTTTTTGATTTTTTTTTGCGCTCGGTTAGGTTGTGTTCTCTGGTCTGGTTTGGTTTGGTTTGGTTTGGTTGGGTTTGGTGTTTGGTTCAGTTTGGTTTGGTTTTGTCTTTTGTCGCTGGACAGAGGGACCGGACTTTGAAAATAAGAGGGGGCGAAGGGGCGGAAAAGTGGTGGCTTTCGGGGAGGAAATAAATATTTTTTCGCATTCCTTTTAGCGGTGCAGCTAGCATTTTCTGGTGGTGTTGGTGTCGCTGTGGTTTTGACATAAAGTGCGCTTATAAAAAACCGCCAAGTTAGAAGCGCCAGAATAAAATGTCTCCCTTTTCTTTTTCTTTTTTTTTTGTTGTTTTGATGAATGCAACGCTCGCAACGAGCTGGCCAAAAAATTGCACAAAAATAGCTGATAAATTTGCGCTCTCCGCAAAACAAATGGTTAAAGTTTTAAATTGAAATTGGGCCAAAAGGCAAGCGAAATTGGTAGGGGCGCTAGGTACTGCGAGCGAGCAGCTAAAAAATGTCCATAATAAATATCTCAATCAAAAAAGACAAGCGGGCAAAAAGTAGCATCAGCATCGGAATACAAATATGGCAGCAAATGGAACAAAACGAAATGAATATGAAGAGCGCTGTTTGCCGATTTTGCTTGCTGATAAAACAAAAGGCAACAAAAAGCGTTGCACAGATTAAAAATCTAAACTAAAAGCAGCAGCGGCAGCAGCACTGTATGGCTAAAAAAAGGAAAAGTATAAGCTCTTTCCATTTTCCACCATCAAAGATTTTACTTCGCTTCGTTGTGTTTTTTTTTTATTTTTTATTTCTCGTTTGTTAGATGTTGATATAAAACAAGCGACTAAATAAAAACCGCACACACACACACATACACACAGCGAAATTCTCAGAGGAGGGGAGGGGGTGAAGGGATAGGAGGGGGCTTGGTCCTTTGGATGGATTGAGAGCAGGAGACACACGTACAAGTGCAGGTCCATTTATCTTCTGTCATTGTGCGAGTGTTTCCGTTTTTGTAATGAATGTCCAGCTGTGTGCATTGCCCTGCGGACAAGGAGATGCCTCTTTGCCTCTTTTTCCCCCCTCACCCCTACCCCCTTCCCCCTTCAACTCGTTCCGAATCCAAATCCGAATCTGGCTCTAGATCTGGCCAATGCAAAGCCAAAGCCAGAGCAAACGAGTCTGGGTCCGAATCCGAATCCTACTCCGCATACGATTCCCTGGCTAAAACTGAAACCGAATCGGGATCTCAATCTGAATCGCTGCCACTACAATTGTCGCTAGACGCTCGCTGAAAGGCGTCTTTTATGTCGCTTGATAAGATAAGCCTCGCTTAAAATATATATTCGTCGCAATGTATTTATATGTATGCAGGGATGGGTGAAGATGCGAATGAAGAAGGATGCTGTGCAGCAGTGGGGTGGACCATACGAAAAGGATAGCCATCCAGTTTAATAAGCAGATTTAACATTTCAAAATTAAGAAAAAATATATTTCTAAGTCCATTTCTCTAGAATAAAAATGGAAAATTGTGTCATTTTTAGGACTGTAATGTATACTCTTAAATATATCAAGTTTAAACCTCTTCAGCCTGCTTTAGGGCTTCCCAAAACAATTTCTTTATCATAAGAATTTTAAGATAAAGATCCCAAGGCTTTCATCCAAGCTGAACCTTTGTAAGTCCACTCTAATGCAAACTCTTTGTGGAAAAGGAACCGGACATCAAGAAAGGCACAAGTGTGCAACTTGTATGCGGCACATTCTTAATCCGGGTTTTTGTCATTACACTTTCCACTTTATTTCCGTTCGCTCGCAGATTTGCGTTGTAAGCACTGCCCCATCCCCCTATCCCTTCCCCTCCCCCTTTCCCTTTTGATCCCTCCCCCTTTTCCTGTGAATTAGGCAGATTTTCTCCTTTCTTTTCGGTAGTTTCCTTTTTTTTCAACACCATATCTTTCTTTATTTCTCGTTTGGCCGGCAGTAGAGCAATTGGAAATAATGCAGTGAGGACAGTTCGGCACAAAGACAAGGCAATGGGCAGTGGACATTGGGCAGTGGGAAATTGAGATGCAGGGACTTAAAAACCGGCCAAGAAGCGAGGAAGAGGACCCAAAGTTTGGACTGAGCTGCTCTGCCAGGCGGGCAGTAAGCTGCTTGCCGGGAGACTGCAGTTCGGGGCTTAAATGCAGCCAACTGCAAACTCAAATGCCATCAGCTGTCGGGTTCAGAATGGGTATCAGGCATGTTAACCGACGATATCGACAGGTTTTATTTCAGGTAATATTCACAAACATTAAAAAGCATACATATATCGACAGGTGAAAATGTTGTTTTCATTTAAAATGCGAATATGTTTGGGTAATTGTTAAGCTCGTTGGTTTTATAAGTTTGTTTTTCAGATAGTTCATTTAATATATTACAATCTTGTTATACTTTTTTATTTGTGTTCACATATTTCACGAATTTTTGTAACAACGTTACCATTCCCATTTTTACATGAAACATTTTTTAATTGTAAATATTAATTTACATCGCTGTTGCTTATTGCGGAATTCTATTCATCGGCGACATATTAAAATCAACCTAACGAAAGGTTCGAGTCTTTTTGCCACCTGCAATTGATTTTTCCATAATTTAGCCTGTCAAATCGCCAGAAACTTGGGCAAATAATTCACTTGATTTAGCCCACGAAAAAGCGACGTGTCCCGCAGGGCAAACGTTAATTCGATTTGAGGGCATCCTCCGCCACCCGATTGATATATATACATATATATACGAATTCCGGCGGATCCAGTTCCCCGAGTGGCAACCTCAATTTACCCATTTCGGCAGTCCCGATGGCATAAGCGAATTCATCCATTAAAGCTGCCAGCAGCGTACATAAAGCCAAACAATTCCCCTAACTACCCAAATTGATCAATTTCAATTCACTGCAAATAGCCTGGGCGTGATTTGTTGGGGTGGCTGGATTGCCAGTAATGTTGCCCTACTGCTCGGTAATGTTTGGCAATATAAACTTTTTGTACTTTTACGATATAGGAGCTCACCACTCTACCTCTCCCTCTCTCTAAAAAAAAATCAAAACAAAACAGAAAAGTATAAAACGAGGAACGACACCTTTGGCAAGTAGCTTACTACAAATTTGTCAAAGCCTGGGAAAATCGAAAACAAAACGTGGCAAAAACTCCAATCGTTGGCAATAGCACGCAGCAAGGAAAAGTTTGCATTTCAAATTTCAAGTTATCCCGCTGCAAGGAGTTGAGTTTAGTTTGTGTTTTTTTTTTCTGGAGTTCCTTTTTTCTGAATGGTCAACTCCATGGACGATGTACTTGTGACCTACGGTTTACTACTCTGCTTACCGGTTCGATTTTTTTTGTTTGCCGTATACATTTACCTCCAAAACTTGGCAGCCATGCTGCAATTGATCCAGGATCTGCTTAGCCTGTTGCTATCGATTCTCCTTTTTGCCGCCAGCTGCATTTGCCGTTTGCCGGAGGAGGGACCTTTTCGGGTGATGTCACCACCAATGCGACTCCTCCAGTTCCACTTACGCAACGTGGGATTGCTGCTCCACATGCTCCGCGAATCGCTGCGCATCCAGAGCGCCGCTTTAGGACGGCTCAGCTGGCTCTTCCACTTCTGCGCCCACAGACGCACCTGGGTGATCATGCTGCAGTCCCACTGAGCAACTGAAACTGAACTGAAAAGTTATCCAGCGAGAGCAATAAACGCTCGCAAGTGCATGAAATTTAATGCACGTTTTAGCAACTCAAATTCGCGTTTTTTACACGGTATTTTTACCAAAAGAAAGCATATTCAGTTATCAATGATGTTGCTAAAAAAAAAGGGAAGAACAACTCTTTAAAGGAAAAAACTACTTAACATGAAGTTCCCAAGATGAAAATAATGCATTGTAATTAAAAGTAGAGCAAATAAATTAATAATAAAATAATTTATATTTGTTGGTAAAATATACATATCTTATCAAATATGTTTTTTTTCTAATTTTAAAGATATATCTTTTTGATTATAAAATCAAATGAAATACCAAGTAACCTTCAGTCGACTATAGTTAACCAGAATTTTTCGGTAGGGGGAATGCCGCCAAATGCATCCGCATTCGCTTTTAGCGCGCGCAATTGCACTTGAAGAAATCCTGGGGATTTCATGCGAGAATCCATTTGTCACAATGCCGAGTACGTGAGGCAGTGCTGCAGTTGCTGCGTTGCTGCAGTTGCAGCGGTGCGTGTAAATGTGTCGTCCGGACAGAGCGCGAGTCCTTCGGGTCCTGTGGATCCTGGGGATCCATCCTTTCCATCCCGTGCAAGCTCCCATCCACATCCACATCCACATTTAGTGCCAGTGATGCAGCTGCACTGCCGGGGCTCTATCACAATGACACTTCATTTCAGTTGGCCTCTGCGGCAAGGAGTCCTCGATGCTTTGCCAAAATATATGTACTATACACATCTACATGCCCTCGCATTCGCACTTGTATCCGCATCCGCATTTGCAGCTGTATCCGTGTATCTGTATCTGTGGTCATTGCCCGAAGCCTTTGGATGAGAAAATAGCCAGCTCTGGATTATTTGAAGCCGACCCAGTGCGTTCGCTTAATGGAGTTTCTCCAAAGGCAGCCGGTGGTGGGTAGCTTCAAGCGTTTTGGTAAGGTAACCGGATTCTCGGATCGCTGGCCTTGTAAAATCTTGGATTTTGGGCCAGTTCGAATTGCATTGGGCAGAAGGTCAAAGGTTGCGGGGAATGCCTGCGGCTGCTGTGAATGATTTAATGCTTTAATGATTCAACACAAAGTAGCTTTGCATCTACACAAACTATAATCTTTGAGTCTTTGTGGTTGGATTATTATTGTTGATTTCACACACCAACTGGCGCATATTTAGCACTATTTCTTTAAAAAATACTATGCCAGCTATCGCAATTTGACCAAGAACAAAAGCCAAGGGATTTAAATTAAAAGTACTTGTGGTAGCCCTTGATCTCTGCAATCCACCCTCGCTTTCACAGATTTCAAGTGCGAAAGCGAACGCCGCACAAGTTTTCATAATCATGAATATTGTTTATCGCCCTGTGAGCAGCTCAGAGTTCCCAGCCTTTGGAAGTGCATTTGAGCATAATGAGATAGACTCCGGACTTCAGACTCCGGTCTCCAGACTCCGGCGGAGTTGAACCGACTCCGTTGAGTTGCAGTTTAAGCCGCTCGCTAAGTGCTGAGTAAAAAATAACTGGGGCCATAACAAAAGGTTTAAAAAACAAAGCGAAGAGCGGCCTTTAGACACTTGACATCGCTTTGGATGGATGTGGCTTTAAGCCAACCTCGTTTGCCATGTGGTTGGCATTAAAAACCCTTTAATTGGCTCGGCGCAGTACTTTTTATAATACGAGTATATATGTTGTTTCAAGAGTTTACAGCGTATTTACACATAGAATTACATAAATGCTGAGCGCATTAACTTTAATTGAAAAGTATTTTTAATTAATAAATTTCAACACGTTGGCGCCAGCACAGCACATAATTGCGAGTAGGCATTAAAAAGTGCCCTTTTTCCCCCTCTCGATGAAGGGCAATCATCACAACAATAACAATATAATGTCAGCACAAACAACTGCATCCGACACATATATAGTATATGTATATGTACAATATATATATAGTCTATAGTACATCGTATTGATATGTCAGACACAACAACAATGGCAAACGGAACAGCGAGCAGCGGAAAAAAGGTTAATTGACCAACAAATAACTTAATTAAATCAAATGAAAATTAAACAATTCAATTTTTAATGAGGTTCGCTGGTTTTGACCTCGTTTCAATTATGAAAAGCAAGCACAATGGGCACAAGTGGCCGGAGTAGGCTGCTCCCGGATGACTGATTGGATGGATAGCCGGGCTGGAGGTCGTTCCGCCCAGCCGGAAAATCGGAAAAGTGGAAAAGTGGCGGTGCCAACAACTGACAGCTCTATTAAAATTTCGAATACCCTTAATTTGGCCCGCCTCCTGCGTTTAACTGGCCCTTCCTCTCCCTTAAAAAATGGGCAGTTCGAAACTATTAATTACAGGTGGCTAAAAAAAAGATGGGGGAAAGGATGAGTTTTTCAAGAGTGGGTTGGACCACAGAAACACGTGTGATCTACTAATTGCTGGAGCACTTAATCATAGCTTTGAAAAGCTCATTAACTGAAATTAGGGTTCCTTGTTAAAAATATCTAAATACAACCTCAGAACACAAAATAAAAATCACACGTGTTTAAAATTGTATTTAACCAAAAACAAAGTCTTGAATTTAATAAGCAACTTAAATTTACAGAAACGTTTGTAACATTTTGATATCGATATCGACATCGCTGTAAATAAAGCCCTGTTGAATCCATAATTAATTTTTAATGATTTACAATGTGACAACTGCTTGCATTGGGATAATTTAATATTGTAGCAGATCAACTATCAAAACTGATACATTCGCTCTTTTTAACAATTCACAAACCGAATGCCGTCCTCTGCCATTCGGCTCCCGTTGGGAGTTGAGTTCATAAAAAGCACATAAATTATGCAAATTGATTAAAAAATCAGCATACCTCGGCAATAAAATGATTATAAAACAGAATGAATAAACAATAGCCACTTGGCAAGCTGCAACAACTGCAGGACAGCACTTATAGGAGAACAATTTACAACTGCCGAGTGGCAATTGAAACTAAGACCGTGGAGGAATGTATTTCATTTGATTTTGCTTCTTTCCTTTTTTTCAAGCCCCCTCGCCCTTTTTGTCTGATTGTTATTGTTGTACGTTTAATGAATTTTATTGATTGCAAATACAAAATAAGAACAGCATCACGCAAATGGAAACCATTTACAGCTTAAAAATATTTAATTACCAACAACCCTTCGAAATGGGATGGGGATTTCGATGGGGGCTGTTGCGAAATGTTTCAGGTCTTGCCACCAAATTGCAATTAATCTTCTTTTAACAGCAAACTTTTGATCCGCTTTATTTGCATTTCGCTGCGGCCCACAGCAACAATAACAACAACAACAGCAACAACAACAACAATTACAAAAACAACAATCCAAATGGAAAGAAGGTGACCGTGGAGGGAAAATAACGAAAATGCTTGTCATAAAAAATTATCAAGGGTTAAAAATTATGTTACGCGTTTCATTTTGGTGGCCGGCGAAATGATTTATGCAAAATCTGTGCGGCCCCAAAAATGAATATAAATTGTGCAATTTCATGTTGTTCTTTTCACGTTCCCTCCTCTCCTCCTTTTTTTAAACTTAGCTCAACTTTTTGCGTCCGGCAAATTAATTTAAAAGCAGTAACAATAAGTAAAATAACAAACTGCGAAAGGGTCGTCGTCGGTCCTTCCTGGGCATTATTTATAATCTCACATTAAAAGGCATTCTAATCGATTTCGGTTTTTTTTTTGCAGTTTCGCTTGTAATCCCCGCATTAGCCGTAGATAATTTTCTGATAGCCAAGGTAGCCGGGATAGTAGCCACTGTTATAGCCATAATATCCCGGCCCGGAGTTGTAGTAGCTGTACGGATAGCCGGCGAATGACCAGGAGTAGCCATTGCCCCAGTTGAAAAAGGGAAAGCCGCCGGTGATGCTGCCGCTGAAGAAGATGCCACGCCTCCGACGCCCCGACGGAAGTAAATTCCGCCCAGATCCGCTGCCCCGCACCGCAGAGCCGCCAATTTCCTGCTCCAATGACAGCAGATCCGTTTTTACATCGCCAACTGGTGCCACATCCTTGTCAACAGCCGACGCGCCACTCAAGTGCGTGCCCAGCAGCAAAATCGGTAGCAGCAACAACAGCGGCAACACTTGCAACAGCGACAACAGTGGCAACACCAACAACCGACGCTCTCGGCGCATATTTAAATATTTAATTCCACGTTGAAAATATGATATTTATGTTTAATTCAATCGACAAACCGCGTCAATGCCTTCCATACAACTGCCACTCAAAGAGTCGTCGATGTTTCCTATTTATACGTAAAAATGCGGATTCAATTTAATGCCAACACTATTTGGCATTTGTTTTAAAGCTCTGCGCTCGCTAATTGAAGCCAATGCAAATGGATTTATTTAACAAACAAAAAAACCATAAATAGACAAAAAATTACGTGCGGTTAAAGACAAAAAATGTTCTAGCAAATGAAACGCATTAGATGGGGCAATCAATGTGATGGGGTAGAAAAAACATGAAAATATATTAGACATGAAGCTTGGATACTCTTTTCGTTTAAATAATTGCTTGTATTTTTAAGTTCTGAAGATACTTTTAATTGCTCAATTAAAAACACCTGAGTAATCGTCAGGCTATTTAATTTATTTAATTTACCCCTCTTCTGTTTTTAAATCAATTCCATTTTCAGGAGGAATTGACTTTAATTTTTATTTATACGTTCGGCGTTGAATTTTTTAAATCCAACCCAAAAGCAAAAAAACAGTAATTCTGTGCTGAGTTATTCTCCTCTTTAAATCAGGCATAGTTTGTGTACAAATAATATAGATTATTTCACCTATTTGACCTATTTAACCCGATTACAAGTTCAGAAAAAAACGATAAATCTGGATTTGCGGCTTGACCTGGGACTCAAAATACTCCTGTCGTGCCGAATCCAAAATCGGTTTATGAACCGAATTATGATTGCATGACAGCACTTGTCTGATATTCATCGGAAACACCCTCGCATACCCTCACATACCCTCTCGCCCATTTGAACGACTGACTGACTGCTAGACCTTGTGTCCCTTTTCACACATTACGCATACGCCGCGTTGTTGCGTTCTTTTCTTTCTTTCGTTGGCCCGTTCATTCGGCTCGCTTTGCTAGCTCGTTGGTTGCCAATTGACACATTTCATGTTCAGATATGCGTAAATAACAATTATTGTAATTTTTCAAAGCGCTCGTTGCGAGACAAAGCGTAGACTTGTGACAATTCAGCGATAATACAAAAGCGTAACCTTAACCGACAGCGTGTGAACCTTGAACTTGAGTGACAGGGGCAAAAGGCGCCGGATTCTTTTATTTTTTTTCCCCACTCGTTTTTCTGTATATACATACTTGTGTATATATTTATTCCCTTTTTGTTTGCTCTCAAGAACTCACTCCCCTTTTTCTTTCTTTTTTTTTGCCTTATAGGCGAGGATGTGTCGATGTGCCCGTGTCGGCGTGTATGTTTGCCAATGTGTCAACATTTTAGATTGCCTTGCATGATTTGCAAGAAAAATGAAGACAATAGTTGAGTTTTACACTCTCCACTCAACAACCGCAGCAAGAACAACAAAGGGGCAAGTACCGCTGTCAGCGTGTCACGCGATTTGTTGCCTCTGAACGAATATGAAATGAATATATTTGTCATAAAGGAAAGTCATGGCCCGCTGTTAGTGGGTGTCGTCGAGTTCTTTAACGCAGATTAACAAGTGCAGAGTGCAAAGAGTGAAGTGAATTGATGACGAAGGGTTATAAGTCTAATTGAAGTCCCGTAATTTGTATCAATCAACTGCAAAATGACTGAACTTAAAGAACTTAAATTGTAGGGAATGAAAAAGTGGAAATGCGTTTTTCAGACACTCAATTTTTATTCATATATACAAAACACTTTTTATGTTGCACGAAAAACCAATTTTGTATTTCCGTATAGCTTTCAATTATTGTTTTTGAAATGCTCGTATTGAAAGATTGGTATTCTGTTACTGAAGGGATTGGCGAAATCAACACTATTTTGCCTTAAAATAGCCACTAGCTAAATGAAATTTCTAAAATTTCTAACGTAGTTTCAAGCCTAATTGCACGTAATCCTTTTTTTTTAATGAAATATCCATTACTTTTGCAATTAAACAGCGAAATTCAAGCGAGCAGCCCTTTATGCAACTGACATAAATACAGTAATTAACATTTTCTGTTTGTCGCTGTCTGTTGTTGTTTTAAAATTAGTGTGCAACTCAGAAAAATTTTAATTGATTTAAATAAACACATGTTTGTTAATTAAATGTTATGCGCAGGAATGGGGAATGTGACTTTTATTGTTTGAATTACATTAATTAAAACAGTAGTTTTTACGACTTTTAGTTTGCCATCCTGCTGTTTTGCTCGGAGACTTTGAGCTCATCGCTGCTTTTTGCTGGCTGCAAAGACTTCTGCATGTTGGCGACAGGTTGTTGGTTAATTAATTCATTATGCGCATTAAGCGGTCGTTTCGGTTGTAAGTGTTCATTAGCATTCTCGCTATTTGCATCTATTCGGATGCAATTTTCGCGTTTGTGGTAATGACATTCGCAACCATCGACGCGCTCTGGTTTTTCCTATTAGTGGCGCCAAAATGTATGCTACACTTTCATCCAGAGATTCTCAAGCCAAATGTCCGGTATGAATACACGAAAAGAAAATATATAGTAACATTAGTTTGATACATACTGAAAGTATTTTTTGATTGCATATTTCAATCAATAGAAACTTGTCTTATTACATTGATTTCTGAAGGAAAGGATACTCAAATTATCCATATTTTTTTCGAGTAACAAAATGGAATTCTCCCAATATAGGAATATGTGTATATGTGAGTGTGCGATTATGCAATTGTGTTGGTAGTCAGTCCACTGGCCCGTGCCGCCTGTCTCGGAACAAATCAAATCATCATCAAATCATTCCAAAATCGAGTTAATTCATCTTCACAGTTCATTGCGCACTAACAAATGAGAGGGAGACGGCTGCTCTGCGTGCGAAAGAGATGGAACGAGGGGATAGCGAAAGAGACGGAAGGAGAGAGAGGGAGCTTCTGCACTCGACGAACGCATTTGAATGCGGTTTTCGGCATTTTGTCAAACGCAAAATATAAGTGCATTTTGTCACTGAATGGCCAAAAAAGTGGGTGGGGATGTGTGTGTGTGTGGTGCTTCTGGTGGATAAAAATGCGCGACTGGCAAACAACGCTGCGTATAAGCGATGCCTGATTGCGTTTCCGGTTTATGAAATTTGTGGTGCGCTATGCAATAATTTCTCGTGGCTTATGTGACGTCAGCACTGATGGAATGCCTAAATGCGTGTGCCTGAGTGAGTGTTAATATTTTGTCGATTTGCGATGCAATATTTTGTCATTTGCGAGAGCCATTATGAATTTATTTATTATTTTGCCAAATGCTCTGTGAGCTGTTGATTGCGTTTATTTTACCACCCACCTCCCCCTCTCCCTCCCCCTCCCACATTTTTCCCCGTTCCGCTTCCTTTTTCGCTGTGTGTCCGTGTGATTTTCAATTCGTTTTCGGCGTACGTGTGTTTTTAGCATTTTGCGTTAGCATCTGGCAAATTAAAGTGCAGGCAAGCAGAAATTCAATCTCTCGTTTGATTCTCTCCCTCTCACTCTCTCCCTCACACTTGCCATCTCGCTCTTTGTGCCAACTTTAAATGCGGCAAAAGTCCCTTTTTTAGGCTTCTCTCTGTCTGATTTAAATTACGAAAAGCGCACGTTTTATTGTTTGTTTCAATTGCCTGCTGACGAGCCATGGATTCAAGGAACCACTCAAAAAAATATTGATTCAATAAGTGTATATCAATACGATTGTCACTTGTTTTTTCTCACTTTTTAAATTTATTTATATCAACTGTTTCATTTTTTTATATAAGTTGTGGTAAGTTGTGGTATACATAAAAAATTATTTTCCTTTGAATTGGAATTATAACAGGGAATGGTATGTGGAGTTTATTTTTTAAATTCCAAAGGAATACGAACCCTAAAAGAATTTTTTGCAACATGAATCAGTTGTTTTTTTTTCTGTGCAGAGTTTGCAGGACGAGCGTAATCAGCAAATGTGCCAAACGTCCTCCAAGTTCGCCAACCAAAAAAGGTGGGGAAAACCAAATTAGTTTAATTTGTACGAAATCAAGCAAACGTATGAGAAGCAAAGAAAGCCAAAAGGGAAAGCCATGGCCAAGAGGCGAAGAGAGAGAGAATGGAGAAACGGCTGAAATTGTCTTCAGACAAATTCTATTTAGCATTTGCAAGGACCCTGGCCAGCGAAATGAACTTGGGCTAATTACTCAATGCAAATTAAAATTCATGTCAAGCAGATTGGATTATCCTCACGCAACATTTAATGTCGCACTTAGCAAATGGCCAACACAGCGAAAAGGTGAACGGATAGCGAAGTCAAGGGCGTGAAAATGCCCCACCGGCTGAGGGGGTGGGTTGGAAAATGGGAATAAGATGAGGAAAAGCCCAAGGAGCTGCGGACCGCTTCAGAGAGCAACAAAGAAAAATCTCTTTTGAAATGCTAATGTAAAAATTCTTTAAAGAAAATTACGCAATACATTATTTTGGTTTATTTTGCATTAAAAGTCAATTTAGTGTTAAGGTCCCGTAGAAAGACGGCACAAAAAGGGCATCCCGAAAAAACAAATGCCGGTGTAGAGCTAACCAAAAAAAAAAAAACCAAAACAAAAAAAAGGGAGCTGCAAAGCGAAAAGCGCGCAACAGGATTGGGTCCTGCCAATTGGATGGACAGCGGAGCATTTCGCCAGGACATTCGTCGGCGTGGGCATGACAACGCAGCTTGGATCCAGCAGCTTCCAACCCACCCAAGTTTTTATTTTGCATTTTAAGTTGTATCCGCGGAGAAGGACACGGGCCAAAAGCTTTCACACATTCCACGAAGGACGGCAGGTGGCAAAGTGGGCGTCTTGGGTTACTACCTGATTTTGTATCTTCATTGGCATTTTCCGAGGGAAAATGTTAACATTTTACATTGATAAAACTTACGGTAATTCGTTGCGTTTGCAAGATAAGATTTTTAAGGATTGTTGTAGAAAGTCATTCATTGCTATTTATCATAAGCAAAACAAGTAAACAAACTATATCCAAGATGAATCCAGTTTTTACTTAAATCTTGATTCCGTTTCGGGAATAGCCTTTGTATAAATAGCAATGTGAATTCTCCATAATTTAGTATTCATACACCTGCGTATTATTCATTTATTTTTAGGTTAAAGAACCACTCTTCCAAAGATACAACAAAAAGGTATTGGCTTGTGAAATATATTTAAATATTGATATTTCAATCCACTTTGTTTTGTTTTTCCAATATTGATTAATAAATATTTTCCATTTTCACCCGAGAGTTTTTGAATCCAACCTAAATGGTTCCAAGTTCCCTTCCAGGCAAATGAGATCATAAGCTTGCCGCATTTAACATCACAATATGCAACAAAAGCCATTATTATGGCTGCCTTCCACTTAGCCGCGCTTTTTTTCAACATTTACGCCCGGGCTTTTCCCATTGTGAGCCGGGCGGTCCTTTTTCGTTGAGTGTCCTGCGTGGGGGGGGACTTTCCACTTCGCCATCGTCATCTCAGAGCGCGGCACGCTGCCTCCGCTCTTTATCTATTAAAACGCCTTCCAATTTGCATATTTCTGCAGCTGTAACAGCTGTCAACGCTGGACGCGACGCAGGACTTATTGTCGCAGGGAACGGCGGCTCTTAAGATAATGTCCGCCGGCCAGCGGACTCTCCAACCCACCAACCCGCCAACTCGACGACTCGCCGACTGATGTATGATGTCCTGGGCAATGGAGTGAGCAAATTAAGGCCCCGGTCTGGCAACGCAAATCGGAATTGGGGTCCCTTTTCCAAGGACACTTTTTGAAATGCGCACACAGTAATCACATACTAAATTCTCGGGCTTTTTTGGTAAGCTAGAAACTTGGATATAACATTTTTGAATACCTACTGAATGGAAATTATTTCATAAATTTATTATATATTTCGTTAAAAATATGATACCTATATTTACATTTATAATAATATATATTAAATTTAAAGGAACTTTAGTAAGTCACTCCTTGACTGCTTCCTTTGGATTGTTAAATACTTTTTCTATAAAATAAAAAAGAAAATATATAAAAGACACGAGGAAATACAGAGTCCATTCTAGGAAATATCTTGCCCCGTGGACTTTGTTTCGTTTTATTTGGTCTTATGCCATTCTATTTTGCTTTCTTGGCTGGCTTGTAACGCTGTCACATTACCTACATCAAGTGTCACTTTAAAACGCATTTTTCTTTCACCCGCTCGGGTCTCATTTTGAAGTGTTGCTCTAAGCTGTCGCCACTTTGCTTTATCTAAAGACCGTTTCGTCCGATGTCCTGCCCGACCGATTTCCCAATTCCCCTACCTTCCCCTCTCTCATCGTTTTTGTCCCTCTGGTGGTGGGTCGTGTTTGTAAACAATTCGAGGCACATTAAGTTCCAATTAAGTAACATTCCAGGCAAATCGGAGAGCTGGCCGCTGGCATTTGTTTGTGCCATCATCGTTGTTGTTGTTGCTGTTGGTGTTGGCTTTTGTAGAGGCAGCGACGGCGGGTGAAACAGCAGATTGCTTTGTTAATATTAATTTGTCATTAGTTTGGCTTACGAGCGTCTCGTTTAAAATGCATTGATAGGCCAAGTGGCTCTTATCACAGCTACAGCTGCGAGCTGTGTGTACACAACCACTGGGCTGCTATGTTGGTTAGTTGGTTGGCTTGTAGGTTGTTTGGTTGGTAGATGGGTTCGTTGGTCGGTCGCTCGTCTTGCCATCAGATAAGTTTAATGCGCTTTAAACTGTTTGGCTAGAAGCTTGCGGCCTGACCGGAGATGGGGCCCAAATCTCCCCTTTTCAGCCGGGGTCCTTTTGAAAACTAGGCACAACTGTTGCTCGGCCACTTTGCTGATGAAAGGGTGCGAAGGTATTTCGGTTGCGGCCCAACCGCAGCCTCACCTGCAACCGGACTCAGGTTCTCGTCCTTCCTGCACCCAAAAAAAATGGGAAAAAATTCTTGTTGTTTTTCAACAAGTTTTTTTAATTGTACACTTTATTGTTTTGCAACAAGTTTTTTTAATTGTACACTTTATTGTTTTGCAACAAGTTTTTTTAATTGTACACTTAATTTACCGGTATTTTGTTGGCTAACTTTTTAAAAATGTACTCCAATTGATAATTAATAAACATAATAAATCATCATTTGCCTTTTATATATTTTATATTTTTTCTTTTATAACAATCATAAGGTTATACTAAAATGAATGCTTAAAATCTGTTTGGTTCTTCCTGGACTTAAAGGTTTCTAAATTTCCCCAGTGCAATCTTGGCTTTATCTCTGACCATCAGCTAAGAGAACCTTTGTGTGCTTTTCTTAGGGTGCCACTTTGATGGACAGATCTTGGAGCACAAACCATCGAGATTTCATTTTCCGCATCGAGTGCCTTTCGCTGGACAAGCTTCTTCTGTGAATCTGTGGCTGCTCTTTTCGCCGGCCATCATCTTGTTTTATTCTATTTCTATTTCTCATTCCATTTTCATTTCCTTTTTTTACGCTTCAACGCGAACGGACTATGCCACACGTATGTGAATATATTCGTTTTTATATAAACACCAAAGGCACTCAAAGGCTTCGGCCTCAAGTGTCGACGGTTTTTATTTTACGCTACTTTGAGCTGATACACATGCAAATACAAACACACATTGCGGGGGCCACAAAGCGTAAAAATGTATAAAGCTTATGCCAACTGGCAACCCATTCGGCCCATTCGACCAACTCAGCTCAGCTCAGTTCAGTCAGTCAGTCAGTCAGTTTAGTTTAGCACAACACCGAGCAACTACGCGTAAAAAGCAAATATATATTTTTCAATGCGGCGCAGCCACGGCAACAGCAGCAGCATCTGGCTTTCAATGGAAGTATAGAGTGGAACATGGCTAAAAGAAGGTGTTATCTGATTGCCATTTTAAACACAGCGCCCGCTGCAGCAATTTCGAGTGCAATTGGCAAAGCGCTGGCCGAATCAAAAGCGATGCCCGCTGAAAGGCGAGGCGAGCGCATAAAAAGCAGCAGCCGCTGCTGGATTCAATGAATGGCTTAGCGGTTCTAGTGTTTCTACAGTTTCCCCCCTTTTCCCCTTTTCCCACTCTCCCCTCCACAAAACCCGACGGCGAGTGCCTGAAGAGACATTAAAAGATAATCGGCAGCAAGTGGAAGCGCAATCATGGTTCTCCCAGTGGGGATGAAAGCCGGACGGACACATTCCGTATTTGTCAACGGATTGTCAAAGCCGAGTTTTCAAAAGCAGGAGTTTTCAGGGAACAAAGTCCATAAGCTAGATCATTCCATTGACTGGGTAGAATGCAACATGCTGTACTCTTTTTCTTCAAAGGGTTCAAAGCTAAAATAAATAGCTAATTATAACATTAATCTTCAGAAACTAAGATTCAGAATTAAACAAATATTTAACTTAAAACTAACAAACCCAGAAAACCTTACACAAATTTAACCTAATACAGCTTACGTATTACCGAACCTAAGCAGTCATTATGGGTAAATAATTATTAATTTACGTTCAATTACTGCAACTACTTAGTCAAGCGAGAAACCTAAAGACCACAATTAGTTGACGGCATTCCAGTCTGAATTATTAACGATTCCCCCCGCGCAGACAGGACATGCAAACAGTGATGACTTTATTGGCCCACTGCAGTTCTCAGTCTTGTTCTTGTCCATTTATTCGTTCCAGTTAATTGAAATAATAATTCATGCTCACGTAGCTTGTTAGGGCATTGGACATTTCCCCCTTTTTCTTGGTTTTCTCGGTCTGTCTTCGATGTCCTGTTGCTTGTTTTTCTGTTTGCGTACGCTTTTCCAAACCGAACAGAACCAACTGTGTGTGTGTGTGTGTGTGTTTCTGTTTGCCTACACTAAGCGAAAAGGGAATGAGTTGGTCTGGAAGTGCAACGGGGCGTATGTGCAACGCAAGTCGTTTAAAAGTCACACACACTAATTAAACGGCACTCGGACACTTCGCTCGACTGCCTTGTGTTTGTGTGTGTGTGTGGCATGGTGTGGTGTGTGTGGCATAGCAAGAAGTGGTGTGGTATAGTGCTTACACTATCGGCAATTAAAATCTAAAAAGTAGCCAGCTCCAGCTCTTCCTGTCTCCATGTCTGCAGAAACCCAGCCCGATGTCCACAAAGCTTTATGTGTGTTTCTTTTTTTTCCTGCTACACCTATTTGCTTAAGCTCCTCCACCCAGTTGAAGGTAAGTGATTGAGCTCTGGTTGGTGCTGAGCTGGGCAAATAATGCGGTGCGCCACGCTAGATTTTAATGAATGAAAGCGATAATCGTTCTGAATCGCCTCAAAAGAGAACTGGACACCGAGCAAATAAACACGGTATCGTGGGACCATCAAAGTGAAACGTTTGCGTTGACTAGTTCGACTTTTATACGCTTTTAAAGATATTTTTATGGGCAAAGTTTAGGATTTCACTATCAAGATGCAGCTGACTTTTTGATGGTACAGGTTGCCAAGCACTGATTTTTATACACACTTTATAAACTTGTACACTTACTGACTTTATGCTGCATTACCACAATTCAAAACATTTGAGTGATTTTTTTGCAACAGAAAGATAATATTAGCAAAATAAAACCTTTTTTTTTTTACTTTTATTCACCACAATCACATTTCCATGTCAAATCATTATGTAATCCCAGCTTAGTTAACCACGGTTAGCCAACACTTTAAATGTTATATAATTTTTATTTAGTTGAGCCAAGTTTTTTCGTTTTTCGTATGTTTTTTCTTATTTTGAATAGCCACTTAAACGAAGGGGGAAAGTGGAGAGACGCCGTAGATGCCGCCGCCTGTGGCACCGAAGCCGCCAATGGCCGGATATCCAATATTATAGCCACCGCCATAACCATAAGGACGACCATAATATCCGCCCGCCAGTCCCAAGCCGCTGGATCCGTACAGATTGCCGTAAGGATAAAGTGAGGAGCGTATGCCGGCGTAGCTTCCATAGCCTCCATATCCTCCGATTCCCCCGTAGCCTCCGTATCCTCCGATTCCCCCGTATCCTCCGTATCCTCCGATTCCCCCGTAGCCTCCGTATGGATAGGGAATTTGGCGACTCACTCGCTCTCCCCTCTCCGAATCCTCCTGTTCTCCAGACTCATTTTGCTGCAGCGGTTGGCCAACTGTTGCGGCGATTAGCAGCGCATATAATCCAAATAAAAACCAGCTACGCATTATCCTTATGGCTCCTTGAACTGCTTGCTGGTCACTTGACTTTATCAGTGGCTTTATGAGTGCTCCTCGCTGCTCCGCTCTCCGTTGGCTAACTGTGACCTGGCCAACTCGCGACCGGTGTCTTTATAGCCTAGAACTTTGGGCATAAAATGGAAACTTTTGTTTCGCCTTTTCCGCACTGGTTGAAAGGTGGGACTTCGTCTTTGTTTGTTTTGCCCGCCGCTTGTTAGCAAAAATTAGATGCTAATGTAAATGCCATAAAACAAACTATTAAAATATGCGAGTGCGAGTACGAGTACGATGCCTTTAGACCGCAAAAGCGGAACAAAAAGCCAATTCATATGGCTCTGGATGGGGTATATACTTTTGGTGGCACGCTAAGTGGCGCTCATGAAATCGAATGGCAGCCACTGGCAGTTTAAAGAGCAAAACATTTCACTTTGCACCGCAGCCAACTTCTGAGCAGTGGTGGCTATTTCAGATTGCAGCAAAAAAGCCAAATTATGTTCTAAATATTTTATGAATTGAGAGAGCTTGGGTTTATGTGAAGAGTTTTACAGTCAGTTGCGGATCCATTCGATGTTGGTTTATTTCTAAATTTTCTAATAAATAATTGGGTAGTGTTTGATCAAGATAAATAAATATCTAATTAAACTAAATCTGTTATTTGACATCCTATTTATAAATATTTTTAATTATGTATTTAAAAACCACCAATTCACAAATTGTTTATACATTAGTGCTCTTTAATTCCTTAGTATAAAGTCATTAAAATCTTAAAAATTAAATTTTTAATTCCTCTTAAATTGCTTAAAATGCCTTTAAAGCTAGTAACTAATTTTGGCTCGTAAGCCCCCAGTTTCTCTGCTCCTGCGGTCAAGTAAGCCGTGTAAATGTGTTAATTTCATTTGAAGGTAAGTTATGCTATTGACCAGGTTGGGACCCATTCCCATTCCCATAGCCATACCCAAACCACCTCCATTTCCATTCCCGTTCGCAGACTTTAGGCAAACGCCTCCAACTTGGAGGTGCGTAAGTGTGAATTGCTGTTAGCTGTTGCTCTTGTTGTTTGCCGAGTTTGGCTAGTTTGCGAGTTTGCCGGCCAGTTTGTTTGCCTGTTTGCTGCTCCGCTGTTTGTTTTATGAGCGCGGGCCGGCCATTAACAATGCTCGATGGCTCTATAGACGGCTTGAATAGCTCTCAATTGGTTTATTGCGGTTTTTGGCGCATGTGTTTCTCGTCGAAATCGGTTGTCTAATCCAACGGCAAAGCCAAAGCTGCTGCATTTTAATTCATTTATGCAAAATGCGAAATCTCTCTACCCATCTCCATTTCGCTGGCCAAATTTGCTTATTCAAATTTAAACGCTTTTAGCCAGACCAGAAAACTGGGTCAATTAACGATGTCAACGTCAAAATGATGCACATTTTGCTACCCACTCCTCTTACAAACCAACTTCCTCTTTCCCCCTTCCCCCCTTTTCACCCTTCCGCCTTCAAAATCCAGTGGATGGCGTAAACTTCCGCATAAATTTCTACCGAGAGACTGCAACGGGAAACTCAATGGGGGAAAAAAAGAGAAGAAGAATCTCAGACGCGGCATAAATTAAAAATACATTTTTTACTCGACCACGGCCGACCCGGCGAAAAAGTATTTTGACTATGATTGTCATAATCAGCGAAGAAGCTGCAGCAGGGAAAAGAGACTCGAAACTACAAAAAAAAACTAAAAGAGCTACGCAAACATTTACCCCACAGTCTTCCCTCGCCGCAACGAACCGGAGGGCGATTAGTTAAATTACTAATTTACATTGGCCACGGGTCCAGGTGCTCGCCAACTAATTCATGAATTTTTGGGTTGGAGCTCCAAAGCAGGTTCATGGTTATTTATGCGTCTTGAATTTCATTTCGCCGAATGGAAATTCATATTTTGATAGAGTCTACGTCATTTGAGCGGGAATTTTATTTTCTGAGGTTTCTGATTGAATTAAATCTTTCAATTAAATCTTAAAAGTTCGATTAAAGAGATGGAATAACTAATAATTAAACATAGTGTTTAAATTATTTTCTTATATGTAGAATTAGATACCATATTACATTGTGATAAAACTAAAGTCACGTTTATTACTAAAACATTACCTGTAATGCTGAAAAAATCTTTCCCGCAAAATCTTTTCCTTATTTTTCTGCAAGTCCTGCTTAAAAGTTTTTAATATTTTCTTGCTTGCATTTTGTTCGTTGCTTGTTTAAAAGTTCAACACAAAGTTTCGCTTCTACTCAGCAGAAGACTATAATGTTGTGAAAAATGTAGGCAGTCTAGTCATTTTTCTTTTCCTTTTTTTTTTTAATCCCTGTGACGATGGTCGGCAATTGACGGATGACGGGTCAGACGGTAAATCAGTTTAAAATACAAGTTTGACTTGTAGCACTTTTTTCACGTCCACTTTAAGTGAATAATTGAATTATAAGTTTTTATCTGAGTCTCGGCTTAAACTTTTACAAAAACGAGACGAGTTACTTAATTAGATTTATTTCTAAAACACCAATAACAGATAATTAAGTAACTGAAATATTAGCATATTATTTGTTTGTTTAAAAAAAGATAAGTTGATTCGAATTTAATTATTAAATTAACGACAACTTGTTTTAGATGTTATATAACTGTCTGCGGATTTTATAATTTCTAAGAACCTTAGCTTAATTCTTATTCACAAAAATAAAGTTGGAAATAACAATTTGGCATAGATAAACAATCCAGTTCCTACTGGAATTATGATGACTAAAATTTTTATATTTAGAAAATGAGTGTTACTAAATATACAAAATATCGCTGATTTAATTCTCTTTCTCTAAAAAACTAACCCCAAATGAAAAGTGCTAAAGAACGGAAGGCAAACCCCGTCTAAAAATGTGTTAACTGAGTAGGCTAATAACTGAAATGAGTCAGTGCGTCAGTCAAAATGAAAACGACAACATCGATGGCATTTGAATAACAACCAGTTGCGTCGACTGTTTACCCTTAGATTTTAATTAAGTCAAACAAACGTCTCAAAATCCCCAGACTTCGGTGCAAAGCTTTTCGAAATCCGAAAGATGAATGGAGAGGCCCACTTGAGATGCTGCTTCCAATGAACACTTGGCCACTTGTCTATCGATCTGTTTTGTTTTTATTTTGTTTTGCGCATTTGAATAGAGTCTAAGACGCCTGGAGAAAGCACAGCGAGCATTTCGACCATTTCGGTCCACTTCAGACCTCCTTCGCCGTTGTGTTTGCCAAAAACTTTGCCACTGCTCCGTTTTCGTTGCCTAATAGGTTTTGCGTTATTATTATGGCGAGTGTTATTGTTTTTATTGTTGTTGTTGTTGTTGTTGTTGTTGCTCAACGCTTAGCTTAGACAGTTAATACGAATCGGTGAATCGCTCTGCCGGCAGTATTCATTTCTGTTGGCGAAACACTCGCAACTTTGATGTTCCGCCCGGTCGAACCACTTCTACTTTTATTCGCTTCCTCAGCCGGCGCCTCCGTTCGCCAGTCGATAAATTGGAAATCATATAAATTGGCTGGCCGCAGAGTAGACTCTTCATAGAATCCATCGAAACTTTGTCGGTGATTAGTGGCAGAAGTTTTTCCCCCCAAAATGCGCACATTTGTTTGCCTCGCATTGGCGACCATTCTCCTGGTCGCCGGCTCCTCGGCCGCGGTATTTGAGCCCAGTGTGGCCGCCAAGCTCCTGGCTGTGGATGCAGGTGTCCAGGCTCCTTCGGCCGCCCGACAGGTTCGTCAGTTTGGCGGTGGCTTCGGTGGAGGTCCAGGTGGATTCGGCGGAGGTCCCGGAGGTGGATTCGGTGGCGGTGGCTTCGGAGGAGGTCCAGGAGGCGGTGGCTTCGGAGGTTCCGGAGGCGGTTTCGGAGGAGGTCCTGGAGGCGGTTTCGGAGGCGGCGGCTTCGGAGGTCCTGGCGGTGGCTTTGGAGGACGTCCTGGTGGCGGCGGCTTCGGAGGTGGCGGCTTTGGAGGTCCTGGCGGCGGCTTCGGACGCTGAAAAGCAACCACAAATCATCTGTGACTGACTTAGCTTAGACCACTAGAAATAGAATGTGAAATCAGAATGCAATTCAGCACGTTCTAATTAAGCTCCAAATAAATTTGATTAACCTAATTTCCTTGTCATTTGCATGGCTTTCAATGATTGGCAATATTCAAAGGTAGATGTGGTTTGCAAATACACTAAACCAATTCTGGTCAAGTTGAAAAACCGAAAAAAAAAGTTAGAGGTGATATGAAACCAGTGTTGATCCAGATAAATACAGGAAACACTATTAAAGATTTCTTTAGCAACCTTTTATACATTTTTTAATATATGTATACTATAAGCATTATAAAGTTACTTTTCTATAAATATTTCAAGTGTGTTAAGAACTAGCAAATCTTAAAGTGAAAAAAATATGTATTATGTAATTTTCCTTCTCAGTTTCCTTGGCTTTTTCCCATATATAACAAAGCAATCCATTGAAACTTAACCGCGCCTGCTGCCACTGGCGTCTTTTATCTAGCTTGCCAATCGCGTTGGCTCGCAAAAGTCGTTTAAGATTAAACGTTTGCTGTAAAATTCCTCTTTTGACAAGCGCCCTTTTATTGTTAAAAAATTAACTTGGCTTTAAATTTACGCCTTTTGTTATCCCTTGACCTTAGCGGCAAAGGACGACCACCCAAAAACACCCAAAACACCCACCAACCACCACCCACCGCCCATCCATACAAGGGTCATACGCCAACATTGATAAAAGTTTTCGTTTTTTCTTGTTGCCCCATCGCCCCTTTTTCATTTTTTTTTTTTTTCTGGCTCGTGAAAAATTTCTCGTTACTAGAACGCAGTCTTGTAAAAGGCTTTGTTAGTCTACACTTTCACGGTATACTTTGAGAACTTTGTTAAGAGGGGACTTTTTATTTTTCTCGCTTTAATGACTTTGCATAGTTGGGCTTTAAAGTATTCCACTATTTGCTTGAAGATTTTCCTCGCAAAATTCTCTGAAGCTGTTAATAATGTTTTCGGATAATTTAGTAGTCAGTAATAATTTTACTTAGAGCTTACATTGAATAATTTTAAACATTTATTACCGAAGCCACTCAATTTTCAATTACCCTCATGCAGTTTTCACCTCATTAAAAAGGCTTTTCCGAAATCCCCTTCAGAGTATTATCAATTCGATGACCTCTTGCTGCCAGCCGCTTTTGGCCATTTTGGCGAAGCTGCTCTTATCGAAATCGTGTCTCAATAAATCTACGGCACCTTCGGATACACACCCCACGCCCATTTTTCCGTGGCCGCCCCAAACCAAGGACAACGCCCACGCAGCTGGTGGGGAAAATCGGTGGAAAAATCCGGAGGCGGGAAAAAGCCGTTCGAACTGATTATCCATGTTGACCGTCGCGGCAGCAACAGCAACAGCAGCAGCAGCAGCCGCAGCTGATTGATTTGTTATTGAAAATATTAGGCCTGGCCCAGAAGGGAAAATCGAGATTTCCCCGATATGTTTGATGGGGAAAGGGGGGATGTGGAAAAGTGAGAAGGGGAGTGACGTGGAACGTGCTGTGCGTTTGGATACGCTTGAAACTTTTATAACTTTATGAGGGCGTTGTAATTTGATATCGCAAAGTTTTTTTATTGCCTTTTATAGCCTTATAATTTGGCCGCGATGCTGTTACTATTGTTGTTGTTCTTGTTAAGGTTCTTATTGTTGTTGTTGCTGCCACCGCTGGTGTCGCCACAAGAGAGATGCTGAGCCCGTTTTGCCGGCCCATCGGGCGTATACTTGTTGTTTTGTGGCGGCTTTTTGTTTACACGTTATTTATGGCTTATAAATACGTATCGCTTTTGTGGGGTAGGCGGCGCCTGGGGCGTCTCTTCTGAATTGTAAACAACTCACATGTGGCATGTACTTAAGAAATCTCTTAATGAGCATTAGATGTCGGCAAATGAAATTACCCACATGCACATGTTTGCCTGCTATTTGTAATTGGATTTGAGACGCTTTACCTTTTCTAGTCCCGTCATCCAAATGACGGCACATTTTGATTTTGATACCAGCTTATATAACTTTGCAATTGCAAACGTACAGATGTGATTGGTTCTAATTAAGTTTGAAAATGGGGGTTCCACCCACTTCAAATGATAATAAAGAACCACAAAAAAATTCCCGAGAATATGAGTATATTTTTGTTTATCCAATGGAATTTTTGAAGTATAATGACTTTGCTAGAAACACCGGCAATTGACGTAATGATAATTGGATTATTTCTTCTTTCTCTCTTTTTAAGCAACCCATTTGAGATTAATAACCTATGTACAAGAAAAATTCTATAATAAAGTATCTATGAATCAGTATCTTAGTATCGGGTTTTTCCATTTTTTATGATGTCAATTTGGCTCGGTGGGTTAAAGGGTAATATGTTGAACATGTTATTCCCAAGCTAGAACATAATTAACAGCGAATGAGGTAAGTCATAAACAGGTTGTATGAGCTGCGCAGAAATGATGTTGTTATTTTCCTTTTTTTTTTTTTTTGATTGTGCTCAGTTGTTTACAATTTTTGCTCGGGGCTCTTGAGTGTCGGGGGTTTTCTTCGCCCATTTGATTATGCTCAGGAAATTTAATTGTTTCAGGTCGTCCGCACTCAGAACCCGTTTAGAAACCCAGATTCATCAGGCGACTGAAAAAGGCTATATAAAGCGCCTAGGCGGGAGATCAACCAGAATATAACGAACTCAACCTGAGAACGATGCGCACTTACCACTTGAATCTATTACTGCTGAGCACCGGCCTCCTGGTTTTGCTGGCCAATTTGGGGACCGCGGCTCCTCAAGCGGATGAGGATGTACAGCAACTGACTCTGGCGGATGTAAATCAGGCAGCGGAGCAGCAGGAGCAGCCGGCTGTTCGCCTGGCCAGGCAATTCGGATTCGGAGGAGGACGAGGATTTGGTAGACGAGGATTTGGCGGAAGAGGATTCGGCGGAGGAGGATTTGGAAGGGGAGGATTCGGAAGGGGAGGATTCGGTGGTGGATTCGGAAGACCAGGTTTCGGTGGCGGATTCTTCCCACCACCACCTCCACCGTTCTTTGGTGGCCCCTTCTACGGCTAAGTGTTATTAATTTAACGTGACGTCACATGTGATACGATCAGAGCAGGATTAGCTGCATATAAATCAACGCGAGCTGCTGCTCTAATTACCCGACCAAGTGCTAAGCCAGTTTTTTAATGCGACTCGCATCCGTTTAAGTGGGTCGTCCTCTTTAAATTTGCATCCCAGGTGCTTAGCCATCCATTACAATGATGGCATCCTGTAAGGGAATGCAGGCATTTCGTATCTACAGCGTTAATGGCTTACATTACCCGAAGAGACAAAACTCCATTTTATACAAAAATAAAATTTATTATAATTAAGTTATACAATAAAACGATTTTAAACTTAACCTTACGACTATTAATCAAAAAAGAGTTCAGATTTTCCTGAATTGTTGAGACTTAAATTGCTTAAGATCTCGTTAATATATTATGTTTTATTATCAGGACGAAATAAATGAAGTTTTTTCCACTTCCCTATTAAAATCCACATTTTTATAATGGCAGATTTGCAGTGAATTTCTGTCCTGAGGCAACTAGACTGTTTTGTGTTCAATGCCAACCAACGACTTAATAAAGTTAAACATTAAAAAGTATAAGTACAGTGGATAAAAGGGTTGCGGAAAGGCGGGGGGAAATTTGACCTAGGGCGCTGGTGAAATTATAAAAATTTCATTTCAAATCACGTTGAGTGACATGCAGACTGAGCACAGGACAAGAAAACTTAATCAGCGATGTTAACGATGTCAGGCTGCGGGAAACAGGATGTCATTCTGTACCATCAAATGGCTCCATTCCGGGTCGCGTACTCGTATTTTATTTCGCTCTCTACTTTCCTTTTCCCCTCGCCGTATTTTTTTTCTTTTTCTTTTTTTTTTTTTTTTTTTTTTGTATTTTCTAATTCATATGCGTTTCAAGTTTTAATTACGTGGGAAAAAAGCGAATGAACAAACGAGCGGGTGCCATCGAGGGAGCAAAGTCAGGACCACGGGCGGGACTACTTCTGGCTCCTGGCTCCTTCTTTTTGGCTTGACTGACAGACAGGGAGCATCAGCAGAGAGTGGCAGAGTAGCAGAGTAGCAGGGAACATGAAAATAACAAAATACGCCCAATCAGCCCGGCCAGAACGGAAGCGAGACGATACACAGATATACAGAGGGGTAGACAGACGGCCAGACCTAGAGACAGACAGCCGCAGAGCCACAAAAACAAAAAAAAAAAAAAAAGAGAACAAAAAAATTAAGTAGCGAAATCAGCGGGTAAAAAAAATAAAAACGAAAAATAGAAGGGAAGGCAGAAGAAACCGGAGCCCCCGGAACAACACAAATAAAACAGGATAAAGGCGTTGCATGCCAAGGATAATCCGTGCAGCACTGGTACAAAGACGAAACCCGCGACTGACAGAACCGGAAGAAAAATGGTAGCACGCAAAAATTGTGAACTCACTTGACGTGGCTCATTCCGGCTGAGCTGGTACCCTGCACTGGAAAAAATGGGTAACTATGATTAAATACACAACAAGAAATGAGAAATGCATCATTACTATAAGTTTATTCCAGTTTTTTTGTTGAAAGAACATATAATTATTATTTTGCTTTATAAAACCTCTTTTTAGTAATTTTTATATTTCCCAATTTTAATCCCAAAATTTCTTTCTCTGCACTGACATTTTTCCACCCACTGCCAAATGGCATGACGACGTTGTTTGGTGTTGACGTGTTTGTGGGTGGATTGGGTGGTCAACGCTTGTTAGCTGCGTGTGGCGGCCAAATCAGCGCTCCTTTCGTGGCTTGGCCAGAAGATGTGGCCATAAACATAAATATGCACGAGCCACTGGAAACAGCAGCTGGCCAAATTGCTCTGTGCGTGCGTGCGTATTAAAAGGGGAAGATTCCTCAGGAGCAAAAGAAAAGGAAAAAAACCAGGAGGCAAAAAAAGAGAATAAATATCAGAGTAATTAACAATTACAATGATGCGAGCGAATTCCTGTTGTTGGCCAACTCAGCTCAGCTCAGCTCAGTTCAGCTCAGCTAGACCAGGTCCTAACGCTTGGCTGGCTGGTTAACGGACTGCTTGAGTGACTGACAGTTGCTATCAGAATGTGGATGCCTGTCCGTCCAAGTGTCCGTCCAAATGTCCTTCCAGCTATCTGTCCGTCTGCGGTTGCGGCTCCTCTTTGCTGTAACTCCATGATGCTGTCATTCCCACAGATGTTTTGGGTGTTTCGACCACTGCGAAATAACAATGCGAATGGGATTGGGTAATAACATTACCGTCAGCAGCTTGTAACGTTCAGGATAAAACGTATACTTCATATTTTTAGAGCAATCTAAGAAAGAGGTGGTAGTCTTACTTTGTAATACAAAGGAATTCAAAGGGAATATATATATATATAAACCAATTATTAACGATAACATGGGAAAACATTTCTTTTGCACTAGCTAGTGTGTTACTTATTCGGCTTATCAAAATTAAAACTTTTTGAAAAGCTTATGCTTGAATAAATTCGAAAATAGCCATTATTTGAGATGTGTTTATTTTCCTGCAGGTTTTAGACGGTTTTTGATTGGCTTGTTGTGTAATTGACATATTTTAACAACTGCATAGCATTTTTTTGGGTTTTCTGTATGAATATTTTCTAATCAATGATATGCATATGTGTACATTCCACATTCTTAATGTAATAAAAGGCTAAAGAATACTATTTACATATTCAGATAATAAACGAATAATTATATTAGTACAAAGGGATTTCACGCTCAAGTGTCTATTTATTACGCGAATTACGAGAACTTTTTACCAAAACAACCCCATTAAATAAAAGCGCGTTTTAATAAACTTTAATTCGCAGCCTGTCAGGAAAATCATATGAATTAGCCAGCGTTGGGGAAAAGCACTCTGAACCTTCTCCCCCCGCAACCTCAACTCACTTTGGCCAGATTAAGGATGATTTTATTTCGGTTTCGTTGTGTGCACTCCCGCCTGCCATGTTTAATTGTATTTGCGGCGATGGCTAACACACACACCCAAATACACAAAAACACACACAAACAAACACACTCTCAAACGCAAACACAAATACTCGCGCACTGATGGGCATGTAGGCACATCCTGCCGCAAAGTTTCGCTTGTGAAAAATCTAAGAAAAAATCCCTAATTAAACAGTTTGTCAGTAATGCAAATAAACTTTGCTAAACTTTTGGACACAGTCAACGAGCGCGTTTCGTTTCCTTCTTCCTTCTTCCTCAGCTTGTTGCTTATTATTCTTTGCTTTCTTTCTTATTTCGAAATTCTCCCTCTTTTAATTTTCGTTTTTTTTTTTTTTTGGTCAAGCACACAAAAATGTAATTATTAAAAAATTATGCTAAACACGCAATAAAAAGTTGGTAAGAGAAAAATAAGAAATTAACGAAGAAAACCGACCGAGGGACACTGGGCAAGAAAAAATGTGTTTTTAAAAGGCAAACGGTCAAAATTATATATTTGTAATTTTTCTTTTTTGTTAAACTTTGTTGTGTTCATTTTGCGTTTTGTTTTGTTACCCGCCCGCATGATGAAAAGAGGGAAAGTATAAAAAAAAAGTAAAGCGAGGCTGGCAACAAGAGCAAAATTAACAATTGTTAATTTAAAAATTGCACACAAATGCGTAATGCGAAAGTTTTTGCGCTCCGCCGACGGACAGCAACCCGTATTCTTTCCCATTCCCGTTTGCGTTCCCGGACCCGGACCTTAATTCCGGATCCCGCCAGACTCGGCTTGGCCACTTGTTAAGTGTTAATGAAATAATTATGCCAACTTTTGCCCGGTCCATCCACTGGCCGCACATGGCCCATCTCTATGTATTTATGCACTGAAAATAAAAGAAGAGTGCTGTTTAATAAATAAGGAGTTTTCAAGCGCTTAAAAACGTGCTGGAAAAACACGGACACTCCAAATATTATACATATATTTTTACTAATAAAATGGAAAAGGTTTGCAAATGTAACAATAGCTTATATCCAGAGGTTTCTTTTCAGTGTATCTAGTCTGAGTTGCATTCTTATGGAAGTCTTTAGAGAGTTTTAAATGGTTTGTTTAAATAATAACTCAAAAATAAAAAATGAGTCAGAGACTCGAATTTCTGGCCACAAATTAACTCATATATTTACAACTCGTTTAAATAGAGGATACGAGAGATACGACTAACATATAAAATTTGGTCTTCTTGGGTTTTTTCAGAGATTTATATATTTCTTAAAATACAAACCAAATATTTTCTTTTCGTTCAGAATTCACGTTTGACTTATAGACCTACAGTTTTACAATGCTTGCATTTTTAAAGCTATAGTTTTACAATCTTTTTTTCTTTTTAAAAGTATATATTCTGAGTATTTTTCCTTTTTTGATCAGTGTTATGTATACTCGGCCCCTCTAGAGAGCCTGCGGAGCAGCGTTATCCCGGCAGCCACTTCAGTTTTATTGTTCCCCTCAGCGCCAAGTTGGGAACAATGAAGTGTGAGCTGGAGTGCGGCCCCTGACCTCCTGCCCTTCTGGCCCCTTGCTTATTGCTTTTTTTAATTCGATAAACTGCCCTCCGAAGACTGGAAGGAGCGGCAATGGCAGCGACCTTGGTTTCGTGGCGCCCCCAACGCCTAAAAGCAGGCAGCGCTTTTGTGCCGCAGAGGCTTTCAAACGCCTAAGCCGCTTAATTACAACGAGTCGAGTCGGGGGCACCAGAGTTTGCCAGCTATTTGCTTAAGACGCGAAAATGTGATTAACAAGTGTGAAAAGCCGCCCGGTTCTCCCTTCATTTTTTCTTCTTCCGCTTCTGCATGTCTTGTTTCGAACTTTCTTTGCGAGTTCGGGAGGTTTAATTTTGCTTGAATAACTTTAATTGATTTAGTTTGACAGTGTGTGTGTGTGTTGGCAGGGGTCCTAAAAACGAGCTGTCATTAACTTAAAAATTAGCAAAATATTAAAAGGGAGTTTGAGGACATTAAAAGCGAATTTATAAGAATTATTTATCATTCAGAAAAGTTGTTTTATTTAAGACATATCTGATATGAATGTTCCCATTTATTTATTGAAGAACGTTAAACTCCACTTCACCTTCACCTTCAAGTTGTGTATAAGCCCACAATTGATTGAATTTGGCTTTTTAAATGGCTTAAACTTCCCACTGACAGAGGACAAAGTTGGCAAAGGATTGGCGTAGTTTTGTTGGCCGCACCAGATGCATCATTATCAAGCCGAATGACAGGTGTGCGCATGCCAATTTGGGCCAGCTCTAATTGAATTTAGTCAACTCCGGTGCTCCGTGTCTTCACGTTTGTCTGTTTCCTTGTCTTTTTTCACCGGAGGGCGGGACTCG